AACTTGTTTCACCGGATGCTTGTTTGGAGAAGGACATTTATCTCCCCCTCAAACTCTGATAATAATCTTGAGTATCTTCTTCTACCAAATGCTGATAATCGTTCGCCAATAGCACTAACTTAAGGCGAATGTGGTGACTTGATGCCATTTAGTGTCCACCTGCTGCCTAATGGTTACTTGGTCGCAATCAATAGCTCTTAGTAATGACGGAGCTTAGTAAGTTCACGCAGATGAAATGTACCCTTCACCATCGTGCACACCATTTTGTATGAATTCGGCTTACAGTGAAACAAGTGAACCTTTTGAAATCCTACACTGTTTGGATTACCAGCTGGTGAGGTTCTTCAGGGCTGCTCTTTATCTTCCTTTTCTGTTCGATTAAACTATCCAAGACTGAATTAACTACATACCACAACCAACTGAAAATCTGATACTGTTTTAAATGATCTACAAACCCTCCGTTTCGCCTATACTGGTATCCGTCACATTCTGACCCATATTAGCTCTATTCCATCTCGTAATCGTGAAGTTATGAGTAATACGGGTGGTCTCATTGTTTCATTTTGGATGTAGGACGATTAAACACAAGTAGTATCCTTGATGCGAGTTGACACGATAAAACGCTGATTTCTGGCGCGTTTAGTCGCAAACCATTGCTTCTAGGCGAACGTCCACGCCAATAATCATGAAATCTTGAGGTTCCAAGAAGTTGATGGTAACGGCGTAGATAGTGCGGAACAAAACCTTACGTGAAGTGCTGTCTTTGGTTGAATCACTCCCAATTATGAATGGCCGCTTTCGCAACATCAGTGAATTCGATAATTTCTCTCACAAAAATAGATGTAAAGTAAAGACTCGGATCCACTGACAATTTTAAACTCACTTGGTTTTCAGTGAATGTATTAAACTGTAACCATAATTCTTCTACGTCCGCATTCCATAGAGTGTCACAATCGACAACGATGACCTGGGAAAACACCGGTAGTCATTATAATACTAATCTTCTTCGGGGGTCTCCATAATTTTAGTGAAAGAGATTAGGGAGTGAGGTAGTTGCAAATCTCAGTCTGAACTATGGTGTGCAAAATATTACTATCTTGATTTTTGTCCTCTTTTGTTCAACTAAGAATATTTGACATGTTATTCAAGACAGGCCTCTACTAAATCAGTGTTTGATTCTGAAGTGGTTTGCACAGCACTCTCCAATGTGATGTAGCGTCCAGGAAAGAGGCTACTTCGTTGGCCCAATCAATGACTGCCTGTGAGCTGTACTCGACCTGCTCAAAGCTCAAAGGCTAAATAACCTGTCCTTCAATGACACGACTGTAGCGTTTGTGAACAGTAGTAGGACGCACTGAAAGCATATGCTGCCATTGTGACCACCGCGATACTCGACGCTTGTTGAAAGATAAAACACGAATCTTGGTTACCTTTGACAAAGAGGAATTATCTGTGCTTTCGGGTATGTCAAAACAAGCGCCGAGAACATTTTAACAGAACTTCGTTGATTGAGAGTCATGATAGCGAATTTGTGGCAGATGGATCTGAGCAGGTTGCGAAGACGACGAGGTGTTACTTACAAATGCTGTAAGACGGTGCAAAATGTGAGTTGCTAAGGTTCATGGTAAACTACATAAAAAGCATCCCGAATGTGAAGCAAGTCTGACTATTTTCACTTAATACGTCGTCTACGGTAAGTGCTATGAGATCTTTTACGTTTGAAACACCAAAACAGGGAAGTCTCTTGGTTGACCAAATAGCGCACGAGGAAATAAATACATTGGTTCATGAATCACATTAGTGTTAACGAGAGGCTTAAAGAGATCATTCTTTTATGATGTTCCTTAACTGAATATTCTGCACAGAGGCCGTCTCATGGTTCAACTGGCATTCGAACTATCACAACATATTTTCTCGGAAGAACATTACTCACAAAGTGGCAGAGAACTATTTGAGAGCCCGTTGGCCGTTTCACGCTTTCTGTAGCTTATCAGATACGGATGTTCTCCGAGTTTCTGTAAACTTCTTGATCTTTTCCAACCTCAAATCACACGTGGTTGACGAAGTACATCCATTTTCAAATCATGTTTATTGGTGGAGCTGGTCAGCTTAGAATTAGTGAGGTGCACCAAGAAATTATATTTCAATGTCTTGAAACATGAGGCAGTCGTTGTGCGGCAAGTCCAATTGATGAGTTTTATAAACAGTAGGTTCGTGTGAATCTCACCTACGCAATTTGCAAATGATTATAAATTGTCAGTCACGTACAATTTGGTGGCCAACGTACGGTTGATGGAAATTCGAGGCTACAGCTACTTGATGATAGACAAGAAGGACAGTGCTGATGATATCACCGCGATTGGTGATGAAACGTTTGCGATCAAATTACCAAGGTCAACAAACAAACCAACGACCAACTTTACACGTTGTGGGTGTGAAGCGCATGCCAAACCGTGCGGCAGAATTATTTAGGTTATTTGAAATGGTTTGCATTTCTGAAGGATTTAAACCAAGTAGAGCAATATCATCTGCATACTCAATGTCTGTGAGCGAAGTTCTCGGGAGCATTTCGACCTTCGAGGTTTTAGAGGCAAGCAGTAATTGTCAAGCAGCACATCAATAACAAAGTTGAAGAGAGTAGGTAATACAGGGTGGACTCAGGTAGAAGTTTGCCGTATGGTCGTGCCCGTCCACGGGATTTTGCTAACGGTGCCCCCATAAAGTGTATAAATTTTGGAAGGACACCCTAGATCGCGAGACATCATCAAAGTTTCTGACGATTAACAAAGTCAAAAGCAGCTTTTTGCTCCAGATAAACAACCAACGTTGGGCATTTGCAAGAGTGGCGCTATTTAGGGGCTCGTCTCAAGGTAAAAGTATGGTCTATGTATCCCCAACCAGGGCGATACCCAGTTTCCTTCTCACGAGTTTTTCTCTAAGGATGATCGATCAACCTGTGAAATATAATGTCATGACTACAAGGCTACTGCCACAATAGTTTTTGCATGACGTTTATGAAGGCTGCAATACAGTCGAGGCACTCTACTTCACTGGCATTCTGCTTCTGCTTAGTCTTCCACATTAAGGTCGTCAGATTGGTCAACAGGACCTCACTAGCTTCGAAGAATGCTGGGTACGGACCATCCGGATCGGGTGCGCTGTCGCGTTAGAGGGCTGGTTTTGATGTTCCATTCCGAACTGCTGGGTTCTTCTGTCGGTTTTGTTGAAGGAGGCCACATAAACTGTTCCTTAAAGGGTTCAGTCTATCACTCAAGGCAGCGGTTTTTTGTGTAAATTGCCTTTCATTCTGTTTTGCATGTCTTTTTTTCTGATAATTGTCTTTTGAGAGGTTGACTGAATCAGCCGAGAGAAGCCTTCTCCATCTCCCTGACCTTCGCGATCCACCACTGTTCTCTCTAATTCATCAGGCTCCTAATTATCCGGTGTTTGAGGGATGTGTGTGTGCTTTCATAGTTGCTAGTTGTTAGTATGGCTCTTCTGGAGCAATAAGATCCACTTATCTCGACGTTATACAGCGTTCATTTAGTCGTGTCGGATGGCTTAGACAGACATTTCTGTGATGTGAGAGCATAGCTTCGTTAATTTGCTTCCATTCAACCCCAAACGATCTTCATCGTTCAAATGATCGTACATTTCCAGCAGCTTTTTAGCCAGATCAGTTCGACATTGTTGGGCTACTGAGACCTGTCAAAGATGAGCGGATTTTCCCTGTTGCAACACGCATAATGCTGATGCAAAGTGACGTGATAACCAAGCTCACACAATGGCATGGTCGGAGTCAAGTTGCGTATCCCAGAAGAAATGGCAATACTCTCCATCGGTAACTGACAGTCATATGATACAATTGAGTTGATGTCTGGCTTTCGGTTGGTGGTTTCCAAATAACTCGATGTGAGCGTTTGTGCTGGGAACTCGCACCGGCCAGAATCAGACGACGATCTGCACGCAGCAGAAGAATTCGCTTCCTATTACCCACATTCCGACTATAGGATCCAAATCTACCACCTAACTATGCTTCTCCTGGGCTCAGTCTTTCAACTCGGGCAATCATACCATCCACCGGGATCGATATAACCGCTCTTCTTTCTGATCGCGCCAGACATTGATAAAAGCTCATCCATCTCAATACCAGAACTGCAGTCTGTCGGGGCGTATTTTGATACGACAAATAAACGCCATTTACCACATCGAACTACATTGTTTTTAATTGAACCGGACAACTGTAGAGCGCAAAGACGACAGTGCACTGGGATGCAGTCAAGTAAAGCGCTTTGAGCCCGGGGGCTGAGCGCAACTCCTATAACGTTGATACCACGAGCAGTTATGTCAGGACTACCAAATACCACAACAGCCCGCAGAATCGTTGCAGCATTGAGTCGGACCAAGACGAGAAGTTTACAGCTTTAGATTGGGGAAGGAAAAATCCTTCCAGTGACATATTCTGATTACTTTGTAAATGCATCAGGACATATTGGAATCGTCAAATTTTGGTGCAGATCAAAGATTATACGTGGGTGCCATTTTGATACGTATGCCTGTTTTTGGAAGAAATATCAAAATCATGCAATGGCTTACGCTGTCGTTCACTGTATCTACCCGCCTGATCCTCATAAAATGCCTTTGTGCGTGAATTCAATCCCTTCAGACAGGGATGGATAAATTTTCCCTGAACATTTCATCGTATATTTTCAATGATGTCATCAACCTTTGCTCAACTGTTGCCAAGGCTGCGAACCCTTGCTGCCTGAGAATTCATGGTTCTTCGAAATTTTTTGCCGCGACAAGACGTATCAAGAAGCTTAAATAGTTTCGAGATTACAAGATCAACAGAATCGATGGAGTTGTAAAGAGTAAAAATTCCACTGAAATATACCTTTATGTTCTACTGCTCAGCCTTCATCTAGTAAGACATTTAGATAGCACACTTGAATTAAATTAACATGAATCCTAAGTTATCTTGATAGCACTCTAAAGGTGACTCGACGTTAGACTCAAATGTATTGAAAAGTGTGCCATCCCTTGGATTTTTATGTCAGCGTTTGAAAATCATTTGTAGCTCTCCAAATTGACATTGGATCGTCTGCAGATTTTTCTTACCAAATCCCTAAAATACGGTTAAGAACGCTGAGGAATTTTATCGGGATCTGTTAATCAGGAACTCCTAACATGGAAATGCACATAGTGGTATATTACTTGGTCTGAAGTAGAAGCTTCATTGAAGGAGAAGCTTCATTCAGAGGAAAAACGTGCACCTGCAAATGTTTAAGCCAGAATAATCCATCTGCAGCATGAAAAGAGGCATGGTTTCCTCAGAAGGCGATTATCTGAATGCGTTAGCAGGGTTATAACTAAAAAGAATATTGGTGAGGCTACGGGCCTACCCACCTGGGTAAATGATACACATCTCAGTTCAATGTAAACAAAAATATTAGTTCACCTCAGTTTTTGACCTAAAAAGATACACTGGTGTGCACTGATTCCAGCTGCTTCAGCTTTGTTCGCCGACGATAAGGAGAATGAAGGAACGAGAGCCACGCGTTGGAGGCGATGGAATGGTGTGAGAGTTACGCAGGGAAGGCGATAGCTTTGGTGTACAATGCAATCCTACCTCGTTCTTCGGTCACACTCCGAAGAGACGGCAGTTACCAACGCTACTCAGTTGAGCAGTAATGGCTTCCATGCCTCCTTACAAGGTCATGGAGTGACTGTCCCTGATTTATCCCTATTCGACACAAGATTGAGGGACTAGGGCTTTAGAAGGCGAATGGTCCTCCGGCATATTGAGTACATAGCCTGATCAGCGCAATGTGTGTGTGAGTGTGACCTGCTGATCCATCGAGGTAGAATAATCGATCCTAAAAAACCCTCTGGCCTACCTCAGCATCACTAATCTGACCTACCCACCAGACTCGTGCGATTCTTCGGAGGTATCGGTGATCAAACACAGAGAATGTTCAAAAATATGAGTGATCATATCTATTCCAAGGAAAACGTGGAAAAAAACATTTGTGGCCAGTGTGAGTTTACCTTTGATACAGTTTCCGGTAATAAGTTCGGGATTTCAAGTTTCACTAACCCCCAGACGCCAACTGGATGGGTGTTCGGTATTAGTTTCAACAATCTCTGCAAATGGTAAAAAAGTTATTCAGTTTGCGTTATCCCTGACTGTCAATATTTATTGGCTGTTGAAAGCACTATAGGAGCCCTCCTGTGAATTCGCAAGATGACATGATCCATGGTAGTTTTTGGAGAGTGTGCTCAACTTCGAATTGTCAACTCGCTAATTTGAGTTGAACTCATGCATAATCAGCCAAACCCGACTATTTCTCCAGCTTAAGTGAAGCATGCATTTTCGCCGTGCATATATATATATATATATATATATATATATATATATATAAACATTGATGCAGCGGATGTATCTAGGTTCTTCCGACTTATCACTCATTTGACTTGACAATCAACGTCTTGAAGGTCAAGGTCAACTCGATTCCGATAATTAGACCTTCTGATGGATGCTATCTCGTGTGGGTGCAAGAGCACGCTGAAAATGTACAGATGTACACCGCGGAGAGCACATTCAATTTTGGTTGTTGATCATTCTTTCACATTTTATTCAGCATTACTAAATCTAGCCAAGTATTGTGAATGAAGGACCTAGCACTGATCTCATACCGGCAAGAGTGCGGTGTACTACACGGTCCAATAGGTTGGTAATAAATAATTGAACATTTTATTTCGCAAAGAGTGTCTACTACGCTGTCATAAATAAAACTATCCAAATGGCCAATGGTTTCAATAAGTTATCAGCAGACCTCTACAGATTGTACACGGAGCAAAAAAGGTACGATACATATAAATTCATAACATCAAGTGGATGTGATGATATACGAGCCATTTCAAAAGGTCACGGAAGTTCGCTCACATCTGCTGTATGCAGTCCGTAAGGTGAGCACTGGTGTCAGAGATAAGAGCAAGCGACAAGCCAACAAGGTACGATCGAACAGTCTAACTGAGATGGCCTCCTTTGTGGCTACTGTGGAAAAGCATTCAAGCTTGTATCAGATAATCGGGACATTGTTACTGCTTCCTGCTGGTGGCTGTACGGTCAAAGCTGTAAAGTGAAATGCAATAGCATTTGCGAGAGCTCCAATTCTTCCTATTACCACTCATCCTATAGAACCATTCTATAGATACATCTGATCCTGGTGTCCACGAATAACCTACAGGACATTCTGAATGGTCTTCAAAGGTATAAAAGCATATACGTCAACTGTAGGTATAGAAACTTATGCTATGCATTATTATACCCAGGACGTTTGGGTTTTGCACTTTCTAGTATGTACCTGAAGAGATGCAGGTATATGAACATTTGCAGGCCACCAAGAACCCCACAGATTCGGTATACTCATTTAGACTGACACCGATTGATGGGGATATCAAAGCCCCCCAAAAAACGCTGTATTTTTGTGTGTGCTAGC